TGTACTTTATATTATAGTTATATGAGGCAACACAAACTGATTTATTAAATAAATGGAGGCGGGCAGACAGTGGGCGTGGTGTACCTGGACACTGGGGCAAGTTGCACGCCTTCTCTTGGTGAGAGCTTCCAGAACAGGGTGGTGTCACACACAATCGATGGCGGGACTTCAGGGCCGGGCTGAGAGCGTCGGTGCAGGTCTTTGTGCAAGGACTCCACGGCGACCAGGGAGAGAACCCAGAGTCCTCCTCTGAGGAGATGGAAACAGAAAGATGATGAAATACAGAGAGGATATTTAAGATAAGAAAAGCCTAAACAGCATGCACAAATACAAGAAAATGGCAACCAAAGGAACAGAGTCAAATGAGTGCACAGAAAAGTGTTTGAACCTACCCGGTGTGGCTGGTTCTTCTGTTGGAACAACAGTAGCTGGAGGGGAAAAGCAGCTTTTCATGAATCTGACCTTCATCCCTGAAAGACACATATTACACGTGTTCTACAGAATCTCTCCAAAGTACCTGGACAGTCAGGGGCCTGGCAGTAGGTCGTTTCCCTCCGTGGCCCCTGGCAGTCTCTCCCTCCATGGGCCGGGGCGGGCTGTGTGCAACCTCTAGAGCGGGTTTTGAGCCCCAAACCACCGCAGGATAGTGAGCAAGGGCTCCAGGGGCCCCAGGAAGACAAAGCACCGTGTACAGGACAGTGCTCCAGAGAACAGTTCCACCTGCCGTGCACGCACTCGCTACGGGGAACGAAAGGGGTAGACTGGTGGTGATTTTCCATATAACAGCAGTTTTACACTGTTTTATACGTATGACACAGTTGGCATCGCTCCCACTGTGTCACAACAACAAATGTTTTCCATTTCTTACTCAGTACAGGATTGTAGCTGCGCACCAGTTCAGGTTGTAGCTGTACACTGTGGTAGATGTTCTCAAAGTGGGACCGGTGGACTGTGGACAGGCCAGTTTAACACTGGAAGTCTTTATTACAGGGCCACAGTGCTGGAATGCATCCATCCTGTGCGTTGGCGTTATCTTTGCTAATAAGAAGAAAGGCCTGCCCTGAAGAATGGGCTGTCTGGATATCAGCAGGTTTGTATAAAACCAGCATCAACTGTTCAGAATTAACGACTCAGTCAGATCTGAATGAGGCCATAAAATGTTGCTCTCAACTCAGTCCATCTCAAATGACAACGGTGTCATTCCTGTGATAACGGCTTTGCAGTGATTTCCATGGATACTTTCGACCTGTCCACGGTGCAGCCCACCTCTCCCACTTTGATAGCTCCCCCCACAATCCTGAACGGGATGTCACGACTACTTTGGAAGTAGTTATTTAAAATATGTTTTTTTTAAAAATTGTATTATTATTCCCAAAGTTCTCCGCTTACCAGGCGCTGCAGTCATGGACAAACGTATCTCCAGACTGGAGCTCCATATCCTCTGAGATGTTATGAAACAGCAGGGATGCGACTGGTGTCACGGAGACGCTCTGCAGAGAGGCCAGCAGCTCTTTATCCACCAGACATGGACACTCCTGAAACACACCAAACACAAACACCCTTTAAAGAGAAGAAACTGCATCAGTTTGAAATGATCTTCTCAGTGGTGCATCACAGCCTGGTTCATGCTCTTCATTTTCTGTGCTGCACTTTTAATACTACTGAAGTTACTCTGAACCCACCGACAAGCAGAGTCCACGGTGCTGGTAGGTGTGCACGGGACAGTGGCAGCCTTCCTCGCAGCCGTCAGCGTAGCATCCCTCCCTGCCGCTGACCTGAGCGCAGCTGAAAGGACAACCTTCTCCTCGTTCACACTCCCTGTACAGCCTGCCAGGAGGGCAGCCCACCTCTGCAGAGCGACATGAAGCCCACGCAGCAACAGCAGTTAAAGACACTAATTAAACAGTCCTCCAACTGGAGCAGTGTAAATATAACTTTGCAGCATGGCTACAAATACTGCACAGGAAGCAGACGCTCACCGAGGCAGACGTGGG